CTGTTTATTGCAGCATTATTTACAATAGCCAAGATATGGAAGCAGCCCAAATATCCTTTGACAGATGAATGGATTAAAAAGAGGTGGTGTATATATATAAGCAATGGAACATTAGTCAGCCATAACAAAGAATGAAATCTTGCCATTTGCAACAACATGGATGGAGCTAGAGAGTATAACACTAAGCAAAATAAGAAAGACACATGCCATAGGATTCCATACATATGTAGAATTTAAGAAACAAAACAAATGAAGAAAGAGATGAAAAAGAGAGCAGGAGAAACAAATCAAGAGACAGACTCTTCACTATAGAGAACACACTGATGGTCACCAGAGGGGAGGTCAGTGGGAGGCTGAGGGAAATACGTGATGGGGATTACGGAGGACACTAGCTGTGATGAGCATATGGTGATGTTGGGAACTGGCGAATCACAATAGTGTACACCCGAAACTGATAAAACACTGTAGGTTAACTATGTTGGAATTAAAATAAAAGCCCCTTACACTGAATCCATTAAACATGTAAACCCAAGGATAAAGAAATAAAAGCATCTATAACTCTTAATGTCTTAACTTTCTATAATTAGATAGGCTAGACCAGACTTTGACTTATACACGTAGCAGATGGACATTCAGATTTTCTTCCAGGTAACTAACTGAAAGAAATTATGGTATTTGACATTAATCAAAAGCGGGAAAGATATGAACAATATTAGTTTCAACACATTCTCCTTGTGCCTCTTGGTGGGATCTACTTTTAGCAAGAGCCATTTAACATATATAATTACTAAATGTATATATAGAAAGGTATAAAAATTAGCTTTCATATCACAGTCTAAAAAATGATTAATGTAATCTTATTTGGTTAACAAGAAGAAAAAAACTCCATAAATAACCATCTAATTATAAGAACACAAATGTTATTTTATGGAGAAGTGAGTAAATAAAGCTTCTTAAATTGCTACTTATTATAAAGTCTGGTATAAAATAAACTATGTTGTGATGAGCACAAAAATATCACTAGCTACAATCACAAGGTTTTGATCCTCAAATGCAAATTGGGTTCAGGTTCCAAAATTCTAAAATTCTACAAATTCTAAGGTTCTACAGAACAATAATGAAGAAAAATACGAGTTTTAAATAAATAAAGACACACAAGGAAACATCATGGTGATGCATTAGGAGAAAGATCAAAGCATGATGAGCTCAGAGTTGTGACTGGAGCTAACTCTTTCACCTTAATGTCCATGTGCCACTGAAATATTAACAGTAAACAGATCTCTAGCATTATTAATTTAATAAAACATAAAACATTTATTCAAGTAGTAACTTAGCTAAACTCACATCCAATGATGTTCCATTAAAAATATTAACCTTTTTTTAATCAGCAGGAAATACCTATTAAAATGTGTGTATACATATTAATATATTAAAAACATAGGTATATATATATGTACATATATATAACTTATATACACAGACTCCACTGACCAAATAAAAAAATTCAGTAAGTAAAAGAAATATAATTTTGAGCAAATCATTGAAAATCAGTAGTTTAGACCACAATATATATTGATAAAATAAAATTGTATTTGTTGCCACCATAATCTTTCAGAAAATTCTGATATTCCTATGTAACTTGAAATCTGAAAATTTTTACAATGCAGACATCAAATACTAAAAAATGTTATGTAAGATGTTTTTTCATTTAAAGTTATAAAACTAAAGGAAATCATATGCTCAAATGCAAATTTTCTATTAGTTATTCAGAGATCCTTCTAGTATAAGAAAGATGGTTGTATACTGAGTATTAGATGAGGTAAGAAAATATTTCAAGTGCTACTTACTTTTCTTGGTAATGCTTTCAATTTGAAATTAACTTTTTGTTTCTATTGGCATATCTTGGCAACTAGTTTGCACACTGGAAGAAACTTTTCTTTGACGCAAAAGTTATTCCTGCTAAATTTAGATGGAAATATTTCTATATAGACTGAAGTCAAATGTAAGAGTCAAGGCAATTATTCTGAGAACCAGAGCCACAAACCTTGCTACCACGAACTGAGTAAAGGTTTGTATTGTCCCTAACAACTCAAATTTAACTAGTTTCACATCAACTGAATTAATTGACTATACATTCCATTATAGCCTCTCAAGGAACAGCCCAATTGACGGTCTCCCAAGCAGGAATTCTGGCCATAATATAGGCTACTGCTACCCAGTGAGTCATGTTAGGCATGCTACAGGTGATAGGTTGAACACTAAAGAACAGCCAGAGAAATGAACTTCAGTTGCACAGCCTGGTTCAATGCTTGAAAGAAATGGCTTGAGTCTTGACCGACAAGTTGCTAAAGATTGTGCTCATATGGTTCTACAGAGAATGAAAAAGATATATGAAAATAAGCAAATTCCCTTTAATGACATGGTACCTACCAAAAACATCTTAAGTTCTAGGAGTCTAAGCTACAAATTTTCTAACATTTGGCAAAAGGAGAATGGTAGAAATTGTAAACAGGTTGCACGGCGCTTAAACTTTGCTAACTTTACTAGAGTAGCAGATGTGAAATTGTACACAGAATTACCATCTCATTGTGAATGAAGGAGATGAGTATCTTTTGCATTGTTGAGAGGGGGATCCAAATCAACTATAAATTTTGGTAATAATGCAAGGTAATACAATAAACACTAGCAGATGTGTATTTAGATTATACATATCCATCACAGGACACTATCTCTATGTGCCTTGATGAGAGCACCTTATGATTTTTCCATGCTAGGTTATCTTTTAATTTAACTTTTTTACTCCTTTTGCTAACAAGGAAATTTCCTTTAAAAAAAAAGAAAACAAGCCACCAAAAAAACAACTTTAACAAGAGAACCTTTTAAAAAGCATAAATTAATATATACAGTTGATACTATGAACCGATTTTTTTAAGCAGGTTTCCACTATTCCCAAGTATTAGAATGCAGTTTAATTTGCCAATTAACATAATAAAAATCAAATCTGTGTAATGGATCACTTAAAGAGTAATGATACTTTTCATAATCTACACAGAAAACAAAACAAAAAACTACAAAACTTACTTTGTTATATTTGCACCTGTATTGCCATGACCCAAAATAATCAATTTTATTAACTGAGTGATAAGAATAATAAATTTAGTAAACCTACATCCAGTGGATGAAGATGCTTGACAGATAGCCTGCAGTCAGTGTGAAGGCAGACAGCAATGTCTGGAGAAAGGGAGGCAGGACGGGGGAAGGGCAGATGGTATGCCAGCATAGGAGAGGGTGGGTGAAAGGATAGTGGGAAAGAACTCATTCTCCACATTTTCAGTTTTCCTAAGGCATTGATAAGTGGCAACTGAAAATGAGTTTCTGAGTGGCCTTTATCAGGAGTGCTATATAGTACTGGCAACTGTTCTACCTCCTTTCCTTTAAATGGTAGATACAGTTATTTTTACATCAGAACGTTTTACAATTCCTTTGTAAATATTATGATTTTAAAGCTGGGAGGAAATTAGGATATCATGTAGTTTAACTAAGCCCTTATTTTACTGCTAGGGGAAATGAGGTCCAGGGAAGCTAGGATTTCGTTTCTAATCTATATAAATATACCGGCGTGACTAAAAAGTTTAGAAATGCCATTTTTAGTGTTATTAAAATCAAGAGACAAACACACATAAGAAATGCTTCAAAAACACAAAGGAAAAAGTACAAAAAAGAGCTAGTCATCTGTTCTGATGTTAGTAGAAAACAGTAAATTAAATATAGTGAGCTCTAAGAAATGGATTAGGGAAAAGGTACTAAGTGATGGAAGTCTAAACACATGTAATGATTACAAACATAAAAATTACATACAAAATACTTACCAAGAACATATTATATCTTTAGGAAAATCCATAAAGTGAAAAATATAAAGCCTCTCATAATTATTTCCTACAAATTTGTTTCTACTTCTATTTCATTATAAGAACAATATATACAGCAAAATTACAAAATGCACTTAATTCAAATCCCCAGCCCCCTTTTACATGAAGCCCCTACGAAATCAATTCTCTTGCTACTCTTGCTGGGGGATTCTCAGTGATTATTCTCCTTACACTTAGCTGAGCTTAGAATGGAAAGAAAGCTCAGGACACAGAATCTGATATCAAATCCTGCACAGCTTGTTATGAATATTTCTAGGACATTAAAACCTGTGTCAAAATTAATATTTTTGTTAAATTCTTAAAACTTGAAAACTCAAATAAATATGTAGGCATGTTCTTCAGATACTTGATTATGCCTATCGTCAGAGCCAACATAGATGATTTTTTCATTAGAATCACCTAGGTCAGGGTTCCCCAAAGTGTCTCTGGTTGAACAGAGGGACATCATAATATGGCACATGGCTAAACACTTCCAATTTTACTATTTAAATATGGGTTTTCATATACTTCAGAAAAAATTACACTAGTTTAGAAGTGAATCAACTTCAAAATTACATTAGTAGATAATAGTACAGGTGACGTGAATATGCCCAAACTAAATGTCTAAGGTTTGGGAAATGTTGCCCCTATGGTAACTTCCTTGGTGATGAGCTAACATAAATATTATTGTTGAAAGGTGTGTTGAAAATTGTATTTTGCTTTTTATTACTTCATTTTTATCTCATCAGGCAGTGTAAATCAGCATAAGATCAAAGTAAGTTCTTTCAGATTTACAGTATTTTACTGAATATCATCACTGAAGGAAGCCTATGAAAATCAGCATTAGCAAGACTCACCTCTTTTCCCATTATAAATAAAAACTTCCCAACTCACACAACTGTGAGGTACCTAGGGTATCACTCTGCATACTACCACATGTACCACATTCTGGATAATACCACAGTATTAAGACTGCTCAACACATCCTTGCCCCGCCCAGCCTGTGTTGTTTTTTTTTCCCTCTCGAGAGGAAAATGTACCATAGAGGCTACCAGGAGGCCAAATTAAACAAATAATAACTCAAATACTTACTGTCGCTGGGGAGGCCCGAGTGGTATGTGTCACTGAGTGACCAGAGTTCTCCATTGAATTGCCGATGAGATAGGTTCCTCCAGAACTGCTGATGAGTTGTCCTCCCGTGACGCCCATCTGAATCCCACCAGTGCCCACCATGCTGTGGGACGAAACCACGGTAGTCACCTGCGCAGAGCTCCCTTGAGTATCAAAGTAATTCCCTCCAGTGTTTTGGCTGTACATCTGTGTTTCTGTGTAAGGATAAGTTGTTGTTCGGCTTTAGAAGAAGAAGGAAAAAAGGAAGCAATTTAGTAGCTTATTTATATCATCTTAATGAATTTTTTTCTAGTGTGAATGTATGTTTAAAATAGTTCTATTGTCATTCTCTTCAACCCCACACCCCACAGCCAGCCACTACTGACAACTTGGTGCATGTGTTCTCAGACATTTTTTGTCTGTAGAGAGTCTCTTGGTCCTCACCTCTTCCTTGGTTTCTATGGCCTTTCTTGTCTACTTTTTGCTTTTTTCACCACAACCCTTCAAGGACCTTTTGGAGGCTCCAGCTTTCTGGCACCTTAAATACTAGTATTTTCTGAGGTCTCCATGTTTAGCTCCATGTTTAGCTCTTATTTTTCCTGTTTTATTCAGACCACCTATTTTTACCATATACATGGCTATAGTCAACAACCTTATATGAGTTAATATCTCTCTTTCTACTTTGTGGTTATACTTGAAGAATTTAAAATCTGTTTTTTTTTTTTAAGATTTCATTTATTTATTCATGAGAGACACAGAGAGAGAGAGAGAGGCAGAGACACAGACAGAGGGAGAAGCAGGCTCTCTGCGGGGAGCCCAATGTGGGACTCGATCTCAGGACCCCAGGATCACGCCCTGAGCCAAAGACAGACACTCAACCACTGAGTCACCCAGGTGCCCTTAAAATCTGGATTTCTAATAGCCACCTGGTTATCTCTACTAGGAAATCCCATAATAAATGGTAAGTCCTCATATGTAAAATTTAACACATGACTAAAGAAAAATTCCCCATCTCTCTTGTTCCTTCTCCTACACTCCCCCTCTCCGTGGAAGGCAGCACCACTATCCTCAGCTCTGGAAATGATTACTGAACTCTTTCCTCACCCACATGGACAGTCACTAAGTCTTACTAGTTTTACCTTCTAAATAATTCCCCATTTTTCCTTTCTGTTCTCATACTCACCACCTGCACTCAACAATATTCTATTAGAATTGCCCTGTAATTGGTTTTGGTTCCACTAATTTGGTTCTCTTCCAATCTACCTTCAACTTTGTTGCCTCAGGGAACTTTTCCAAAATTCAAATATGAAAATAAAACTTTTCTTAAAAACCTCTCCATGATTTTCCCGAGCCTTCAGAACAAATTCAAATCCCCTGACCTGCCTTACAAGCATCTGACATACCTACGTGATCTCTGGACACACAACCAGCTCTGTCCTCAAATGCTTTCCTCACTCACATCATACTGACCATTTCACTGGTTCCTCCTGGAATTATTTTTCTTAACACTTCACTCTCTGTGGCCAGTCCTCATAGGGTTGTTAGGTTTTGTTTCCTGTACTTTCCCAACCCTCTGTGCATCCCCGAAACAGCTCTCAATACACTTATTGTTAATTTCATGTCTTTGTGCTCCTATGAAATTACATTTCATTCCCATCTGTGCCCTCAACATTTAACACAGTTGCTGGTATATAGCAGGCGCACTAGTTAACAAATAAAAATATGATTCTATTTAAAAGTATATTTGACATATTAGCCACTTATATAAATCTCTAAAACGTAAATTCCTTTTTGTTCTGTTAAAACATGAGAATTTATGTAAACTACTTCAAGATGTTTTGGTATCACTTAGAGTAGGTCATTTAAAACCATTACAAACTATAATTGTAATATACTTTATAATGTAAATTTTAGTGAAATAATCAAGATGCTGCAAAACTAATCTCCACTGGGTAAAGTTACTGCTTTCCAGAAAGAGATACCACAGATCGAGGTATAAATTTTAGTTTGGGGTGAAGAGTGAAATAACCCCACAGAGAACATTTTTTTTTTTACAGATGGAGAAATGCCATTTAAAATACACACATCATCATCATTGCTCTATTTCCCAGCTGCAAGTCCATTTATATATTTCTTTTATTATACATTTATATAATAAAAAACAGCCATGTTGATTTCAAATTTAGTAAAAAGAGAAATACGCTCATTGTAATTTATGTCCACTAACTATGATAGTCACCCTACTTCACTGTACTTAAAATAACACAATCTGATGTTGCTATTTAAGTAAAGCCAAGTAAAGTGTAGAAATACATATATGACAATAAATACTTCCACAAAACCAGGCATGGTGCTGGCTTTTCTTTTTACAGTCTGGACAAAACGACTAAGCGTGCTCCCAACACAAAGCTGATTTAACAAGTGAGACATGTAATAGCTAATGATCACTAATATTTACCGAACATTTCCTATGCACTACGCACAATTTAATGTGCTTTTCAGGTATCAACTCATTTAATCTTCATTACAACTCTACGAGATAGCTACTATTATAATTTCTATTTCACAGACAAGGTAATTGTTTAGAAAAGGTTAGATTACATAGCTTGGTCCAAAGCAAACAACCAGTAAAAAAAAAAAAAAATAATAAGATTTGGGGGTCACCTAGGTGGCTCAGTTGGTTAAGTGTCTGCCTTTGGCTCAAGTCGTGATCCTGGGGTTCTAGGATCAAGCCCTGCATCCAGCTCCCTACTCAGTGTGGAGTCTGCTTCTCTCTTCCTCTGCTCCTCCCCTTTCCCCATGCCCCACCCCGCTCGTACTTGTACTTGCTCGCTCTCTCACCCTCTCTCTGAAATACATAAAGAAAATCTTTAAGAAAATAGATTTGGGAGTCTGCACTTAGCCCATATTCTCGACCATTTCATCAAATAAAAATAACTTTCTGTGTATGTCATTATTTGTGAATGACTGTGAGAAACAGCCTCTACAGGTGTTACCAGGAACCATGAGCTTCCTATTGCTATCTGGAATTTGCTTACACCTGAGCTCACTGTTTACCAGCACCACACTACCGTCTTCTCATACTCAGAACGGAAACTGTGAAAAATGTCCTCATGAAGATAAAGAGAGATGGAGAAGGTGAGTATTTCAGAGCATATTTACCCCCCCACTTGGATTTTAGAGGTTCTATGATCATGGAAGTCACTACTCTACTATAAGAGAAACATTCCAAGGGATTTAAATCACTCCATCTGTTGGACATGCCTCCTAAGTTCTCGGTGAATGACGGTAACACAAACAAATGCATCATAGATATATAAAATCTCTATAGCCCTCAAGCCAGTGTGAAAACATGGCAACCCACTTTTATTTTCATACTTCCTTCTAGTAGTTAGAGATATTCATGAGCTAGAAAGTGAGATAAGAACAGGAAAAGGAGGGGGAGGGGCAAGATGGCGGAAGAGCAGGGTCCCCAAATCACCTGTCCCCACCAAAATACCTAGATAACCTTCAAATCATCCTGAAAATCTATGAATTCGGCCTGAGATCTAAAGAGAGACCAGCTGGAACGCTACAGTGAGAAGAGTCCGCGCTTCTATCCAGGTAGGAAGACGGGGAAAAAGAAATAAAGGAACAAAAGGCCTCCGAGGGGGAGGGGCCCCGCGAGGAGCCGGGCTGAGGCCGGGGCGAGTGTCCCCAGGACAGGAGAGCCCCGTCCCGGAGGAGCAGGAGCTGCACCAACCTTCCCGGGCGGAAAGGGGCTCGCAGGGAGTTGGAGCAGGACCCAGGAGAGCGGGGATGCCCTCGGGCTCCCTGGGACACTAACAGACACCTGCGAGCGCAGGGGAGTGCTCCGAGCTCCCTAAGGGCTGCAGCGCGCACGGCGGGGCCGACCGGAGCAGCTCGGAGGGGCCCGGGAGCGGCTCCAGGGAGGGGGCTGCAGGGCGGGAGCGCGAATCCACCAGCGCAGGCCCCGGAGCACAGGGCGCCGGGACACAGCCCAGGATCCGGCCTCCCCCGGGACAGGCAGAGGCCGGGAGGGCCCAGGACAGCGAGGACGCTCCTGCCCCGAGCTGAGCAGATCAGCGGCCCCGCCCCGGAGCCTCCAGGCCCTGCAGACGGAGAACCCGGAGAACCGAGAGCCCCGAGCCCCGTAGTTCCTGCAGAGGCTGAATCCAGGCTTCCAGAGCTGCCATAGCAACTGCTGCTGTTCCTCCTGGGGCCCCACGGGGTAAACAACCCCCGCTGAGCCCTGCAGCAGGCAGGGGCAGAGCAGCTCCCCCAAGTGCTAACACCTGAGAATCAGCACAGCAGGCCCCTCCCCCAGAAGACCAGCTGGACGGACCAGTGATACTCCCCCGTGTTCCAATACAACTTGTTTTTGGCCACTCTGCACTGAGCAAAATGACTAGAAGGAAAACCTCACCTCAAAAGAAAGAATCAGAAACAGCCCTCGCTCCCACAGAGTTACAAAATCTGGATTACACTTCAATGTCAGAAAGCCAATTCAGAAGCACTATTCTACAGCTACTGGTGGCTCTAGAAAAAAGCATTAAGGACTCACGAGACTTCATGACTGCAGAATTTAGATCCAATCAGGCAGAAATTAAAAATCAATTGAATGAGATGCAATCCAAACTAGAAGTCCTAACGACGAGGGTTAACGAGGTGGAAGAACGAGTGAGTGACATAGAAGACAAGTTAATGGCAAAGAGGGAAACTGAGGAAAAAAGAGACAATCAATTAAGGGACCATGAAGACAGATTAAGGCAAATAAATGACAGTCTGAGGAAGAAAAACCTACGTTTAATTGGAGTTCCCGAGGGCGCCGAAAGGGACAGAGGGCCAGAATATGTATTTGAACAAATCCTAGCTGAAAACTTTCCCAATCTGGGAAGGGAAACAGGCATTCAGATCCAGGAAATAGAGAGATCCCCCCCTAAAATCAATAAAAACCGTTCAACACCTCAACATCTAATAGTGAAGCTTGCAAATTCCAAAGATAAAGAGAAGATCCTTAAAGCAGCAAGAGACAAGAAGTCCCTGACTTTCATGGGGAGGAATATTAGGGTAACAGCAGACCTCTCCACAGAGACCTGGCAGGCCAGAAAGGGCTGGCAGGATATATTCAGGGTCCTAAATGAGAAGAACATGCAACCAAGAATACTTTATCCAGCAAGGCTCTCATTCAAAATGGAAGGAGAGATAAAGAGCTTCCAAGACAGGCAGGAACTGAAAGAA